CCCCCCCCCCAGGTCCCGCGTTGGTAACCGGCCCCTCTCTTCTGCATCTTAGTTATTTTCCCCGCCAGCCAGCACAGCATCCTCCTGAGCCTACAAACAAGCCGTAATATCGCTCATCTTCAACCTCCTGACGGGACCTGCCCTTCTCCCGGCCATCCTCCCATAGTCCGCAGCCCGAGTCCGACACAAGTCCCTGGAAGCCGTGCCCTCGCCCACCCTCTCACCTGTCCTCTCTGGACCTCACCTCCGCCACCTTCCTATTCTCTCACACCGAAAGCCTCTGGTAAAGACCACCGGTGGCCTCCCCGTCCCCATCCCCCTCCCCCAACGACAGGCGTTCCCTCTTTGAAATGTGCCTTGTGTCTTCTCTAGCTACGCTCGCTTCCTGGTTGGCCTGGAAGCCAGTGCCCAGTGCCCCCCGCCACCCAGCTGTGTATGCCCTGTCCTGAGGCCTGGCCCTGGCCCTGGAACCAGATACTTGTGTGTGACTCCATCTGGAGGCTGGACAGACCTCTCCAACTTGACTTGTCAAAGCTGAGCTCTCGATTTGAACCCCTCCTGACCTGCTGCGCCTCCCCGGGGTCCCTGTTCCCCTACCAGCAACTCTGGCCCAGAGCCCGGGAGTCGTCCTTGACTCCTCTCCTTGCCCCGGGTACCCCAGCTGGCCCCTCGGCAAATTCTTTACCAGGACCTTTCCACCCTGCCCTGGACTGGCCACGTCTCACTAGGTGCCCAGTCTGAGCACCCGTCATTTCCCCAAGCTGGCAAGAACCTCCTCCCTTTCTCTCTGCACTCCCACCGCGCGCACCTGCTCAACCCCTCCAGGGCCTGCCCTCCGGCTTGGAACAAAGTCAAAGCCCTGCCTTACCTTGAGGCCTGATCAATCAACGCTGGGCCCTCCTCTTCCTCCCCTCCCAGCACCTGCCCTCACTCACTCTGCCCACTCCCATTCATCCCCTTGCCTTTTTTCTTTTTTCTTTTTTTAACAGTCTCCATCCCTGGCCTGGAACTTGAGGTTGCCATGCCTGGGACTCTTGTGACCCAGCAACCCCACGGGCCCTCGCTCGCGGCCCTCGGGTCTCCGCTCCCACGCCACGCCTCAGGCCGGCCTCCCCCGCGTCCTCCCACCTAAAATAGCACATCTTCCTTCATTCACCATCCTCTGGCTCTGCTTTATTTTTCCTCACAGCATTTATTGCCTCCACTGTAGTTTGTGATGTATTTATATGTCTGTGCACGCTGTCTCTTTTCCCAACGGGAAGGTTCGCTCCGTGAGCGTGGGGTCTTGTCCGTCTTTTCGCTGTGTGTTACCTGTGCCTGGAACAGCGCCAGGCACACACTCGGCCCTCAGATTTCTGCTGAGTGGATGGATAGATGGGTGGATGGATAACCACAATCACAGCATCAGAGGGCAAAACGGAAAACACACCAACGTTTCTTGCATCTGAAGCAAACTTTATGTTTTCCCTAAAGCCCGCTCATGTCTCTGCCTCCAGACACCTCTGAGGGGGTTGGCGTGGATGTTTCCATCCCCAACTCTCAGGCACCGGGAGATGAATTGGGGACAGGCTGTCTGAAGGCCGTCTGAGCCCTCTGGCTTTCTAGGGCGGCGTCTGGGGCCCATCCCTTCCCATGTATCTGGGGGACAATTCTCTTTAGTCCAGGGATGCTGGGAGGTGTTGGCCGAGGGGGGCTGACTCCGGAGGACGGGGAGGACCATTGCAGAGGCTGGGGATCGGAGAACGTCTCATCAGCAGAAGCTTAAAAGGGACACAGGACACAGGAGGTGGGTGGCTTTGGCCTCTGGGCCTTCACTTGCTGAAGGAATGTGGCCAGTCATCCTGACCTGTCCCCACCCTCACCTCTGCCAACCTCCTCCCCTGTAACACTCATTTCCTTTTTGAGCTCAGAACTCCCCCAAATACCGTTTTTAAGGTTTTAGCGCGCCCAGAGGACACACAGTAGTGTCCACCCTATTTCGGACTTGGTTATATTCATACCTTGTCCATCCAACCTTGCAGCCTGGGGGTTTCTGAGGCTGAGGCCAGGCCCGAGGCACTCACTTGGCCCATGCTGTGTGGCCAGATGCTATGTGGCTCCCTGAGGATGCCCAGACCATGGGGCTGGCCCGGGACCAGGGGCAGCCAGAGGCGGGGCCCTGGGTGTGAACGGACCTTGCTTGAGGATTTGCACTATATGACTTCTTCCTCTCAACAACCCTGGGTGGCGGGGGGGATACTAATATTATCCTCTCTTCACAGATGGGGAAACCGAGGCACTGCCAGCACTGTTCCTCTGTGGCGGAGCCTGGCTTCCTCCCAGGCCTGTCTGAGCACTCCAAAGCCAGTGCTCTCACCACTAGACTGGGTGCCCGTAGCTCATGCAGACCTTTCTGGAACCACACAGGGCTCACTAACTGAATGAAAGGAAGGGGGAAAGATCTCAAGGTACCGCTCAGTGCAGGCTGCCTCCCAGCCTAGGACGTAGCCTCCGGGGCCACTTGTTGTAAAGCCGCAAGGTTCTCAGCCCCCGTCCCCAGGACCAGGGTCTGGGGTGGGGTGGGGAGGGGGTCAGGGGCAGG